CATTAATACTATAAAGAAGGATGCGTTTAACGTGAGTATAATATGTAAGCAAAATTAAAACTCACTAAATTACAACATGTTAATATGGATCAGTTTATGACATGTTTTAATACTTAAAAATTTATTGATGAAAATGTAAAAATAAAAATCGAAAACAAATCAAATAATTGTTAAGTTACTAACCAAATAATAAAAAGTAAAGTTTTCTTATACTTGAAACTAATTAGCAATAAAAAAAATATAATAGTTCAAACTACAAGATAAAAAAAATCTAGTAGTTCAAACTAATTATAAAAATAAATTAATAAAGAAAATAGAAAAAGTATAAAATGTAAAAAACAAAAAGTGGAGAGCAAATAAAAATATCAATTAAAAAATGTGAATGATAAAACAAAGTATATAAATTGAAAAAAAAAAATTAGAAATGGTATGCAAATCTCAATTTAGAAGTTTAAGATATGCATAACCATACCGAAGAAACAAAATAAATATGTTTAATTTAGAAGTTTAAGGTATGCACAACCATACCGAAGAAACAGAAAAAATTGTAAACATATTTATTTTGTCAACATAGTTATAGAATATTACAAAAAATTGAAAGTTTTCTACCTATGACGGTATTGATACTTTTCAATGAAAAAAGAATGTATAAAATGAAAATTTATACAGACTAAAAATACTAATAATGTATTTGTTATTCTATTAGAAAGAAACCTATGACATCAATGATATACATTTATCAATCATGAATTTATATGTAATGCTTGATAAAACAATTTATAAATTATTATATAGATTTTTGCAAAATAATTCACATGATTTTTTTTAATTTAACTCTATAATATTTGAATTGTTTTAACGATTTTATAACATAATTAATATATATTCATTGTAGATAAAAATATTTTTTCACCTTTTTATATATAGGGAAATTGGACTCTATACATTGACTCCATATTTAATTATCTAACATCAAATAGAATAAAATTTAGTAACTAACATTTCAATTAACTGAGATTCTAATTTTACTCTTAATATAATTATGATAAATAATCTCATATCTCATTTTCATTATTATCTCATTTAATACATTTTTTCCATATCAATTTTTTCTCTCTCATATCCAAAAATGATTAATAATATTTTTATTTTTTACATTATTAGAAAAAACAAAAACCAACATCATAAACGTATAGACTTGTGAACAAAAAAAAAACGTATAGACTTTTTATTTCTATTAAATATCTAATTATATATATTTATATACGTAGTTAACTATGTATCTAAATATACTTATCTAGACTTTTCATTTTTATAAACTATATAGTTAACTATATACCCAAATATATACTTAATTTTTTGCCCTTAATTTTCTTCACAAACAGCCAACTATACTTGTTATATTTACGAATAGTTCATTATTATCTACTTCTTTTTTTTCGTGTGTAAATGAGTATATAGTTAGATATATAACTAACTATTTTTAAATATAATTACTTATATATTTTTATGTGTAGTTCACTATATACCCACATATAATTATTTATAGAGTTAATTATGTTCACAAATAGTCAACTATACTAGTTATATTCACGAATTATTCACTACTATCTAGATAGTTAGAAATATCTATATATAAATAACTATATTTAAATATAGTTAGTTATACACCGATATTGCATGTATCTGTCTCAGCATTACTCACGTGATCCCCGTGACATCGCCGCGGATTGCAAGGGAGATTCTGAATAATCAAGACTCCATTTTCGCCACTAGACCGTTAACGACGGGCACAGAGTATTGCATCTGCGGGTACTTGACCATTGCGGTGGAGCCGCAAGGTGAGTAGTGGAAAAAGATGAGGAGAGTGGTGGCATCTCACGTGACTAACCGGAAGAGTTTCAAATGGTCGCTCAAAAAAATAACCGAAGAGGCCGATAACCTCGTCCGTTACATCAATAATCGTTGTGTCAAAAACCGCGGTAATGGTAATGGTTTTTCGATTATTGATTTAAGGCTTGTAGTGCGGCAATACAGCGGAAATGTGGCTCGGAAGATGATGTTTGGTGTAAGGCATTTCGGCGACGGAAGTGAAGATGGATCAGGACCAGGCTTTGAAGAGATTGAACATGTTGAATCTCTATTTACGGTTTTAACACATCTTTACGCCTTTGCCTTGTCGGATTATGTCCCTTGGCTAAGGTTCTTGGACTTAGAAGGCCATGAGAAGATCGTGAGTGGCGCAATGAGGAACATAAGCAAGTATAATGATCCTTTTGTCGACGAAAGACTCGTGCAATGGCGTGATGCTAAGATAAAAGAGCCTCAAGATTTTCTCGACATGTTTATAATGGCAAAAGACACTAACGGGAACCCTGCTCTGTCAGACGAAGAGATCAAAGCACAAGTGACGGTATGCATATTTATCAACTTATATTTAGTGAAGGGTTATATATAAACATGTCGTTCCGACCCTTAGTCTAGTTTCCATAGGTCTAGGGAAAATAGCACTAGAATTATTTGTGACGGTTTCAACAATCGTAAATTATTATTTTTGTTTTTCAAAAATTCACAATCGTAAATTATTTCTCGTCAAATATAGCATCTTTTTCTTCTGACATCCATATATAGCATCTATTACTCCGATCCGGTACCATATTTACAACATCCTCTGAACGGTTGAGTAAAGCGCATTTAGATAGATATGTCTCAAAACCGATCGATATTGCTTCATCAGATAATAACGATTTTAAAAAATTCTTTAGATTTTTTTTTTTTTTTGCCATTTGGCACTCCATGCATTAATTAGAGATTTCATTGTCATCAGCAAAACCTTTAATTGATATATTTTATATAAAAAAAAATTGTTTAATTTGTTGATTTCTAACCTTTTTGGTTGTTAATTACTTTTGTTGGATTGTGAAGGAACTAATGTTAGCCACGGTGGATAATCCATCAAATGCGGCGGAGTGGGCTATGGCATAGATGATTAACGACCCGAGCATCATGCAAAAAACCGTGGAAGAGATCGATAGGGTAGTTGGAAAGGACCGTTTTGTTCTTGAATCTGACCTCCCAAATCTCAACTACGTCAAGGCGTGTGTGAAAGAGGCATTCCGGTTACACCACGTTGCTCCGTTCAATCTCCCTCACATGTCGACCGCCGATGCAGTGGTGGATGGTTATTTTATCCCCAAGGGAAGCCACGTACTGATTAGTCGTATGGGGATCGGGAGAAACCCTAACGTGTGGGACAAGCCACTTAAGTTCGACCCTGAGAGACATTTGGGAAATAACGTAGATGTGGAGCTGAACGATCCAGATCTTAATTTGATATCGTTCAGCGCGGGACGAAGAGGGTTATGGGCTCGAACATTGGGTCGGCCATGACGTACATGTTGCTGGCTCGGTTGATTCAAGGCTTCACGTGGTCTTTAGTACCTGGTGAGGGTAAATTTGATATTGCGGAAAGCAAGAGTGATCTTTTCATGGCGAAACCTTTACACGTGGTTGCAACACCTCGTTTGGCTCCACAAGTTTACTGTCAACCTAGCTAAAAGTGAAAGATTATAATTCAATGGTAGAACTCTTTATGAGATTCTAACCAATTTGATTATTATATATTTTAATTAAAAAAATTTTAATTTTTTTCTTCTCCAATGGTAGAACTTCGTTAGGGATTCTTATTAATAATAAAAAAATATTTTATTTTATGGGATAATTGCAAAAATACCACTTTTGGTGTGCATATTTGCAAAAATACCACTAATTGTGGATTTTTAAAATCTAAATCTTAAAATTATGAACTCTAAAAAATGTTTTGACCCCTAAAACCTTTAAAACTAAACCTTAATACAACATAGTTAACCCAAACATAAATGGTATAATGAATTTTGTTTTTGAAAAAGTGACATTTTTGCAAAGATTTTGAAAAGATGACATTTTTGAAAAATGGCACTTGAAAATTGGCATTTTTTAAAATTTCTCTTTATTTTATAAGTAGAATTTTATTTTCTCAAAATTTATAAACATAGTCAAAAATTTATTTCCTCCAGTTGTAAAAATTATAAACATTGTACGAGTGTTTATTTTTTTTTTTTGTCAAAAAAATCATTACCGAATTAATGGGTGATATGTGTCACATAAGAACCACTTAAGAACCACTTCTTAAAGATCGGTTCTTAATAATATAACCAATTTTTATTTAATTTTAATCTATTTTGCCTTAAAAACTTTCATTAAAAGTCACCATTGAACATGGTCTTAGATTGTCATGTTCCCTTGTGGTTAAGGCCACTTGTAGTTGTAGAAAGGAAGAAATAAATGGTATGTTTTGAAGTATTAAATTAAAATCGGTTGAGTTGGGAGAAAATAAAGAAGTATATTACAGCATTTTGTTTTGTTTTGTTTTTATAAATGGTAAATTTAATATAATATTCTTTTTTTTATATAATGTGACAAGAGAAGCCCATTTGTTTTTTTTTTAATTTGAAATTTTGTTTTCAAAATTTATATTCCCATTTGTTTCCACACACACTAGTGGTAATGGTAAAATATAAAAAATACACACATAACAGAAAAACAAAATGAAATATTATGTCACTAATCTACAATCGGATTTTATCAAACCAAAACATATATTTGGGCATCACATCAAAAGATTCCGATTTTTCTCTTCATTTCTCAAAGAAGGAGTTAAATCTTTTTTTTTGATAAACTTCCAATTTACATTTTCCATTATTTCGATTTATTTCTTAAAAAATAATGTAAAAGGAAGATAATATTCTCACATATGCACGTTATATAATCTTAGAAAACTATAATTCAATTATTAAATATCTTTAATTTTAGATAATTTTTATTTTTTGGTCAACTATCTAACTTTATATATCAATTAACTGGAAAAAAAAAACTGATTATAGATTTTTTGTATGTATCTAATCAGGGTAAAATGATTTTATTTTGGATAGATTCTTATTAAGCTATAACAAAAGAGAATTAGGAAAACAAAATTTGACGGTTATTAAGTTATAACCAGGAGATTTTTTTTGAAACATCTATCTTTATTTATAAATAATTCATGATTACATAGAAAAGATATGAAATAATAAAATTACAAACTATTACATAATTAAAATTACTAGAAAACAATAAAACAAAAAAAGTAAATTTTGACGACGGTACTCTTTGAGAAGACTTCTTCACTAACAGAGTTGATAATCTGTCAATTTTCTTATTTACATTCACCTTCGATCTAATGCGATCTTCATATTTGGCGATCACCCAAATGATGAAACTCCATAATATATGTCGCATTCTAAACACCATTTTCCTATGTTGTATAACATTGGCCGAGTCCCACTTGAGATCGAAAGATACTCTTAGATCAAGAATCCAATGTATTGATTCTTTTGATGGAAATAAGAGTTGAGACTGCCAACTTTCAACGATTGTACGGATATCGCCATACAACAAAGAGGGTGCATCTTCGGTGTTAATCCGTCGTTTCTTCCATATTTCTTCCTTCGTTCTTGCAAACCAACTTTTACTTCTGGCCTCTAAACCATCAATAGTGAACTCCAATAGTGAGAAGTAAAAATTCCCCATCATCACTTCATGTAACTTGTTCGTCGGATTATCTTCCATTAGTAAAAGAAAGAAGAAAACCCGATTACGATACCGCCACACTAGTTTTGGGATAAGAACCCCGAAAACTTCTTTCAAAACCAATTACGATTGGCCATCGATCGTGAGTACAATGACCACGTCGGAGATAACTGATGCGTAGTGGATGAAGACGACACAACATCGCACTTCGATCAATGCTTGAACAATCCCGAATTGAGATCGGACAAAAATTGATCAAAATGTTGAAAATTCGATTCACAAAACTTTACTTGAATTATCATCGGTTTGAGAATCAGTAAAATTATGATCGCTACTTTCATTACATAGAGCAACGCTTGATTCCGGTTGAGAAACAAACGTCGATGAAGGGTAGCGGTTGAAGACGACGAACTGCATTTTAGACCATCCATGACTCTCTCGCTTCAAAACTTTAATCGTGTTCTACTTTGCTTGATGAATCAATGAATTAAACAATTGATTTTGCTTTACCATTGTTGAAAAGTCAAAATCAAAGATCACCCTTCCGATCGCCCTCAGAGAAAAAAAGGCGATGGTTATGGTTAATGTTCTTTTAACCAGGAGATTATGCATCAAAAATTCGGAATTTTAACGGTTTATAAAAAAAAACAAAACAAAATTTCACTTAGATATGGAAAACATAGAGACAAAATAGAGAAGGGATAGTTGACTCCAACGTGGATTGACATTTATCCGACGTGGCAAACACGTGGTAAGCGCGGAATCCACTTAATTAAGAAGACGAGTGTCGCGTGTTACTCCGAGATCTCCACGCATCGAAACAACATTCCCACGTGCCTATCGGTTTCTACGTCTCGTAATAACCGTCAGATTCTGTCTCTCTTAAGGCGATACATTACGATCCAACGGCTTAGATCAAACGACATTCCTCTCTGTCTTGATTAAACAAAACGCCGTTATTTCGTTAAAGGTCTTCTCCATCATTGACATCGTTCACCACTGTCTCTATAAGCTATAATCCACTACGTGATTTCTACTATGCACTCATATTTCCCACCTTTAATAAAACTCTTACTTCAATGATTAACTAAGTTGAACATATAATTAAGTATAAATGCACTGGAGTTAGCATGGATAGAGTAACAGACAATAAAAGCTGAAAGTGACGTCACCATGTAAGAAACCTAGGCGTTATATAAAGTCAGCTTCTTACGTTAATATTTTCTCCGCCTCAATCCTCTCGCCGTTTTACTCTTTAGTTGTTTTCCTTTTCATGAAGTTTTGTGGATATGAGAAAATTTATTTGACGTGAAAAAATCTCAAATAACGGAAGAAAATATATGGCCTACGCAAAAGTCGGTTACGGTGGTAGTTATCTAGTGCACCGCGGTGTATTGGAGCTTCCGTGTGGTTCCGATCATAATGCAAGATCGGTTTCATCGTCGTTTCCGATGAGTATTCACCGATCCAACTTCGGAACGATCTCGGCATCGATGACGGAGACTGTACCGGAGATAGAGAAACAGA